GACCAGTATCTTTTGTCTTATTTTCTGGTAAAAATCTAAAGTTCTTCTGTTTCATCGTACCTTTAGTATCAGATTAAACTCATATATTCATATCATTTCTACTAAACTTACGCCTTGTTTTGCATCTGTCTGACCAGCATTTTTCACATGGTCCTGTGCTGGTCTTATCCTGTTTAGTCTGACTCTTCAAAGCCTGGAACAATCGGAGCAGGATTGAGACTCAAAAAAAAAAAAATGTTTAAAAATGTTTTTAGCTCAAATTTCAACCACTGCAGCAACAACCGCCAGAGACAGAAGTGAAACGCCCAAAGTGGACCTTTTTCTTTTGCATTTCAATGATTAGTTAAATATTCTCTGTCGCTAATTTAAGTCTATGATTCAAACTGTTCAAAATGTACCATTGTTTTAGTTCAAGCTTGTGGTCGATCATTACCGGTCCTGGTCCTGGTGGGTCTGGTTCCCTCTGTATCTGGACAGTTTTATTCTACAGTTGTAAATTAGGGATCAAAAATAAAAGCAAGGCATGTTTATTTGTATTGCACAGTTCTTACTACCTCACGATACGATACGCGATACAAAGCTCACGATAACGATTATATCACGATATGACGATTATCGATATATTTTGGTCAGAAATATACGATCTGCCAATATATGGCATACATAAAATAAAGTGTATTTTTTCTCTTAAAATGTTTCTATTTCATGATAAATGGAATGGAGATGTGTAATGTAGCCATTTATTAAGTATTGATACTAATCAGTATCGCGATATATCGAAAAATTGATATATCGTCACACTCCTAGCTCTTACACAAGGCGACTCAAAGGGCTCGACAAAACAAAAGGGAAACAGACCAGACATTGATGTACTGTGATTATTTATGATTTTAAAAAGAGTGAAGATAAAATCCTTCATCTGTATTTGTGGCTAAAAAGAACTGTTTTTAACCTGGATTTGAACATTGTCAGAGAAGAAGCCTGTCTCACATTTTCAGAAAGACTGTTCCAGATTTGAGCTGCATGAATCTGTTTTGAGGGGGCGACAGTAGCTCAGTTGGTAGAGCATTGGCCTTTGAGCCTGAAGGTCGTAGGTTCAAGCCCACCATAAGACCTACTTCAAGACTCCCACTGATGACTGCTGTCGTTGTGTCCTTGGGCAAGACACTTAACCCCACTTTCCCTGAAGCCCCTGCTCAAAGATCTCAGCTCCTGTGGACTCAGCACCTGCAGGAGGATCAGTGAGGGGCTGGTGCTCTGTGTGCTGGGTACAGCTCTGACTGCCACCCCCCCCCGACCCAGAAATGGATTAAGGGGAAGAAAATGGATGGAATCTGTTTGGTCTTGACTCTGAGGAGCACAGGGACTGGCCTCCTGCTGGGACTGAGGAGCACAGGGACTGGCCTCCTGCTGGGACTCTGGGCACTCAGGCCAGTCCCTGTGCTAACATGTCTCAGAGTCCCAAAGTTTATTATTCATACAGACTGAGCTTGTGCCTGTGGTCTGTCATCAGCTGATTTCTCATTTCTATCTTTAAAACTCAGAACAAATACTTCTTTCAACTCCGTCTCGTCGCTCGTGGCTCGATCTGAAAATGTCAAACGCTCATTTTAAAGCTGGAGTTATCGCGGCGCTCGGTGTTTTCTCCTGAGTCTGGACTTGTAACATATAAATGCTTGTAATTATTTTCCATTGAAGTGAACGGGCCCCGGAACTGGGTGCTTTAGCTTCAATGCAATAGTTCAGACATGTCAAACTTTAGTGGCCCCTGTAAGGATTTTAAATTAACATTATCACAGTATCTTGGTGTACTTCAACTTAAAGTCTCAGGAAAACAACCATATCATTTAATGTGTTCGAAAATGTTAAATAAAATATATTTAGAAGTTATAGTTTTGTTTTTTTATGTTCAACTAAAAATGCGTTTCTTCTTCATATTTGTCCCAGTTCCCGTTTTATCTAGCCTGGTCTTATCCATCCGTAAACTCTGGTCCATAATCATTTCCTACATGTACGTCTGGGTCTGATCCTATTGGCTGCTCGCTCTCCGACCAATCAGAGAGCGGGGGAGGCGGGTGTTGTAGTTTGGTGTCGGTGACGTCAAGAGTTTAGTAAAGTAATCCGTTCTCGTTCGGCTCAAAATATCAAGAAGTTGAAGCCGAAGCAAGCAAACAATGTTAAGCAAACTTCAATGTTGGCAAAGATGTTGTGTCTCTACTCCCCACAGGCTCTGTTAGTGGTAAAGGAGGTGGCTAAAGCTAGGCTAAATACTAAAGCTAGGCTAAATGCTAAATGCCTCACTCACTCGGGCTCATTGTATACGTCACAATAAACTCGGATCCAATGGTTTTTAATCTGCAGAAGGAGTTGACCCCTCCCACCTGTTCACGGAGTCAAGGGAGCAAATACAGACCTTAGTGCCAAATTAAATGAAATGAGTAGTAAGACCAGGAGTAAGAGTAGTAAGAGTGTGGTGAGACCAGGCTAGGCTGAATCCAAATATCAGAGAAAATAACGAGAGATTATGCAACGGCAGCGTGTGAGAGAAGTGTGTGAGTGGGAAGTGTGATCCGCAGGAGGAGAGAGGAATGTGCTCTGGAAGCTGCTTTTGTACTTTTAGATTGTTGCTATGGCGTCGTCGTTACGTTAGAATCAAAAAGTACTTTTAAGCCACGTTCAGAGCCGCGCCATGGTCTCTGTCGGACCATACGCTGTTTATAGTTTGCAAAAATATGACGTTGGAGACTGAAATAGCGCAAATGGTTGTTATCGTTTATACACAATTTTTAAATTTCAAATCGATAAGAGCCTGATGTAAGACAAGGATTAAAGTGACAATTATCTTATTAGATTTTTGGGTTTTTTAGCCGTTTGGTCAAATACTCCCATGTTGGTCACCTCCATAATACATGGAATTCATTTTTGCACATAAAAAATTAGCTAACTTTTTTATTTATTAATTTATTATATGAATGTTTTTAAGTGTTTATTATTGAGCTAAATAAAGCCATAATGAAGTGGCCCTAAAATCACAAATGCAAGGAAAGATGAGCACCAAACGTTAGCATCGTATTCCACAGAGACTGTAAGGTCTGAATACTTTTATAAATGAACCCCTCGGCAGTTAGGAGATTAAGCTGGTTGGTCCTGGTTCTTCAGTGATGGTCCCTGTTGGTCCTGGTTAGTCCTGGTTCTTCAGTGATGGTCCCTGTTGGTCCTGGTTAGTCCTGGTTCTTCAGTGATGGTCCTTGTTGGTCCTGGTTAGTCCTGGTTCTTCAGTGATGGTCCTTGTTGGTCCTGGTTAGTCCTGGTTCTTCAGTGTTGGTCCTGGTTAGTCCTGGTTCTTCAGTGATGGTCCTTGTTGGTCCTGGTTAGTCCTGGTTCTTCAGTGATGGTCCTTGTTGGTCCTGGTTAGTCCTGGTTCTTCAGTGATGGTCCTTGATGGTCCTGGTTCTCTTGCCATGGTCCTGGCTCTTCACTGTTGGTCCTGGTTCTTCACTGTTGGTCCTGGTTCTTCACTGCTGGTCCTGGTCCCTCAGTGATGGTCCTGGTTGGTCCTTGGTGGTCCTGGTCCCTTAGTGATGGTTCTTGTTGGTCCTGGTCCCTCAGTGATGGTCCTGGTTGCTCCTGGTCCTTTGGTGATGGTTCTGGTTGCTTCTTGATGGTCCTGGTTGGTCCTTGATGGCCCTGGTTGGTCCTTGATGGTCCTTGATGGTCCTTGATGGCCCTGGTTGCTCCTTGATGGTCCTTGATGGTCCTGGTTGCTCCTGGTCCCCCAGTGATGCTGCTCGTGGGTCAGATTCCTCAGCTCTGGCGTCACGTCCGCCCCCTCACCCCCTCCCTGCGCAGGAAAAGCAGCCGGCTGTTTTCCTTGTGTTTATCGAGCAGGAAGTAGAGGCCTGGAGCCCGCCTCAGTGTTTGGACACCACAGAGACCGGCTCGGCTCGGCCCGGACCCCATTGTTCTCTATCTGGCAACCGCCGGGGTTTATTTCTGTTATTGTTGCTTAATTCAGTCTGACATTGTGTAAGTCCCCAGCAGAGGAAGGTGTGTGTAAGTGTGTGTGTGTGTGTATGTGTCTGCCCAGAGCTATGAACCAGAGGAAATCACAAACCCCTGAGTTCCACACAATTGTTTGTCCGCGTTGATCCCACTGTGATAAAGATTCTTTCTTCAGTCTCGAAACTCAAAGAAAAACAATGTTTAATGTAAGTGCTCGGAATGCACCGATTGTTACATTTTGGCCGATACCGATGTTTAATAACTTGGCCCAGGATTTTTCTTGTTGTGAGAGATGTGCGCGTGCGTGTGTGTGCGTGCGTAGAAGTGCTGCTAGTGCCACAGTAAATTAGAATTCATCCGAAGTCACAATTTCTTCATGAGGCTGATAGTTCAGACTTTTTTGAATTGTCGTATCTCTTCGCCTGCGAGATGGTCCTGGTTCTTCAGTGATGGTCCTGGTTGGTCTTGGGTGGTCCTGGTCCTTCGGTGATGGTCCTGGTTCTTCAGTGATGGTCCTGGTTGGTTTTGGGTGGTCCTGGTCCTTCGGTGATGGTCCTGGTTCTTCAGTGATGGTCCTGGTTGGTCTTGGGTGGTCCTGGTCCTTCAGTGATGGTCCTGGTTCTTCAGTGATGGTCCTGGTTGGTTTTGGGTGGTCCTGGTTCTTCAGTGATGGTCCTGGTTGGTCTTGGGTGGTCCTGGTCCTTCAGTGATGGTTCTTTGTGTTTCTCGGCTTGTCTTTCGATGCAGATGGTGCTTCTGCTTGTGTGGACTCTCAATCTTGTGCATAGTCTGTAGACTAGAAGATAGTGTGACGAGACCAGAGAGCGAGAGAGAGACCAGAGAGCGAGAGAGAGACCAGAGAGCGAGAGAGAGACCAGAGAGCGAGAGAGAGACCAGAGAGGAGCGAGAGAGAGACCAGAGAGCGAGAGAGAGACCAGAGAGCGAGAGAGAGACCAGAGAGCGAGAGAGAGACCAGAGAGCGAGAGAGAGACCAGAGAGCGAGAGAGAGACCAGAGAGCGGGAGAGAGACCAGAGAGCGGGAGAGAGACCAGAGAGCGGGAGAGAGACCAGAGAGCGGGAGAGAGACCAGAGAGCGGGAGAGAGACCAGAGAGCGGGAGAGAGACCAGAGAGCGCGAGAGAGACCAGAGAGCGGGAGAGAGACCAGAGAGCGGGAGAGAGACCAGAGAGCGAGACCATAGAGACCAGAGAGCGAGACCATAGAGACCAGAGAGCGAGACCATAGAGACCAGAGAGCGAGACCATAGAGACCAGAGAGCGAGACCATAGAGACCAGAGAGCGAGACCATAGAGACCAGAGAGCGAGACCATAGAGACCAGAGAGCGAGACCATAGAGACCAGAGAGCGAGACCATAGAGACCAGAGAGCGAGAGGAGAGAGACCAGAGAGCGAGGGAGAGAGACCAGAGAGACCAGAGAGCCAGGGAGAGAGACCAGAGAGAGACCATAGAGACCAGAGAGCGAGAGAGAGAGACCAGAGAGAGACCATAGAGACCAGAGAGACCAGAGAGCGAGGGAGAGAGACCATAGAGACCAGAGAGCGAGGGAGAGAGACCATAGAGACCAGAGAGAGACCATAGAGACCAGAGAGAGAGACCATAGAGACCAGAGAGAGAGACCATAGAGACCAGAGAGAGAGACCATAGAGACCAGAGAGCGAGGGAGAGAGACCATAGAGACCAGAGAGAGAGACCATAGAGACCAGAGAGAGAGACCATAGAGACCAGAGAGCGAGGGAGAGAGACCATAGAGACCAGAGAGAGAGACCATAGAGACCAGAGAGAGAGACCAGAGAGACCAGAGCCAGGGAGAGAGACCATAGAGACCAGAGAGCCAGGGAGAGAGACCAGAAAGACCAGAGCCAGGGAGAGAGACCAGAGAGACCAGAGCCAGGGAGAGAGACTGACAGTATAAGTTCTTGCACAGATGGACGACCCACGTGAGTTCAGGTTCAGGTGAAGTCTTTTTTAGTATCGTCCTGAATCTTCTTTCCTCTGGTTTAAACTTTGGTGTTTGTTGCAGATGACGACGATCTCCTGATAGTCCGTGGATCTCGCACTGGGATGATGAACCCCGGAGACAGCTGGCAGACCTTCCCCATCGAGGGCACGGCGGCGCACGTCTCGTACCGCATCCGGGTCCGCTGCGACGAGAACTACTACGGCAACAAGTGCAACAAGCTCTGCGTGCCCCGCGACGACTACTTCGGGCACTACCGCTGCGAGCCATCGGGGGCGCAAGTGTGTCTGGACGGATGGATGGGCCCTGACTGCAAGACGGGTGAGTGAGACGTGAACGGATACTGAAGCTGGAGGAGGTTACTTTCACATGTGAGGTATTTGGAGCTAGAGAGAGACTGAGCCAAACCAGGTCGGTCGGCACTAGATCATAAACGGAATCGGGACGAAGCCGGAAGTAACAATCCTACTTTCAAATTAGTTTTAGACTAATAAGTCCTTGAGTGCTGACTGGTTAAGTTTTAGGTGTCTGGTTAAGATGGTTAAGGTTAGGGTTAAGGGTGGGTTGGGGTTATTTTAGGGGAATGGCTGGTTAAGTTTAGGCATAAATAGGTAGTTTGTTATATTTACTTCTGCTTCCGTCCCGATTCCGTATATGATCTAGTGCTGACCAAACCCGGTCCAGTACTTCCCTATTGAGCTAGCGTGTTAGCATTGTCCATTATTGGGTTATTGCCCTATTGTGGATCAAAATTGGCCAAGTATTTGATTTTTATTATATATTCATCTAACAAATGTGAAGACATCCTTTGGTTTCAGAGTGTTTGTGAACATTTTGTTTAAAGCTAATTATTACTAATAACTCATTATTAATTAGAACAGAATAGTATATATGTACATGTATAATATGTCAGGGCAGCACTCATTAAGTTACGAGCCTTCATTTGTTATTGATTCCTGATTTCATTTAAATAAGCAACAGACCAGTTTGAGGTTATGGCTTAAAGGTCTGAGGGCCATATAGAAATGGGAATCGGGTCAGATGTGGCCCCCGGGTCGGACTTTGCCCAGGTCTGGTCCGGTCTGTAACACACATGATCTTTGTTCTCTGGTTAAACTTTCTGAACCAGGATTAGCCCAGGTTGGTCTGGGTTAGTCTGTGGACGAGACCGATTACACTGTTAGCCCCCGGAGCTAACATTACTGTAGAAGCAGCTGCATTTTGATCAACTTGTATTAGTGGTTCACCTGGTCCTGGTACATGGTGTGGTCCTGGTTCATGGTGCGGTCCTGGTACAGTGTCCTGCTGAGAAACCATCAATGACATGAGGCTGAAGAAATATCGGGACAATGGCCTCAGGGGTCGGGTTTATGGGCAGACGTCTGGTTTGCTATTACTGTTTTCTATTCAATTCAATGCATTTGTGGATAGCCGTAAATCACACTGTAACGTCCTCTGAGACGAGAGAGAGATGAGACGAGAGAGAGAGATGAGACGAGAGAGACGAGAGAGACGAGAGAGACGAGAGAGACGAGAGAGACGAGAGAGACGAGAGAGACGAGAGAGACGAGAGAGACGAGAGAGACGAGAGAGACGAGAGAGACGAGAGAGACGAGAGAGACGAGAGAGACGAGAGAGACGAGAGAGACGAGAGAGACGAGAGAGACGAGAGAGACGGGAGAGACGGGAGAGACGGGAGAGACGGGAGAGACGGGAGAGACGGGAGAGACGGGAGAGACGGGAGAGACGGGAGAGACGGGAGAGACGGGAGAGACGGGAGAGACGGGAGAGACGGGAGAGACGGGAGAGACGGGAGAGACGGGAGAGACGGGAGAGACGGGAGAGACGGGAGAGACGGGAGAGACGAGAGAGACGAGAGAGACGAGAGAGACGAGAGAGACGAGAGAGACGAGAGAGACGGGAGAGACGGGAGAGACGGGAGAGACGGGAGAGACGGGAGAGAGACGGGAGAGAGACGGGAGAGAGACGGGAGAGAGACGGGAGAGAGACGGGGAGAGAGACGGGAGAGAGACGGGAGAGAGACGGGAGAGAGACGGGAGAGAGACGGGAGAGAGACGGGAGAGAGACGGGAGAGAGACGGGAGAGAGACGGGAGAGAGACGGGAGAGAGACGGGAGAGAGAAGAGACAGAGACAGAAGAGACAGAGACAGAAGAGACAGAGACAGAAGAGACAGAGACAGAAGAGACAGAGACAGAAGAGACAGAGACAGAAGAGACAGAGACAGAAGAGACAGAGACAGAAGAGACAGAGACAGAAGAGACAGAGACAGAAGAGACAGAGACAGAAGAGACAGAGACAGAAGAGACAGAGACAGAAGAGACAGAGACAGAAGAGACAGAGACAGAAGAGACAGAGACAGAAGAGACAGAGACAGAAGAGACAGAGACAGAAGAGACAGAGACAGAAGAGACAGAGACAGAAGAGACAGAGACAGAAGAGACAGAGACAGAAGAGACAGAGACAGAAGAGACAGAGACAGAAGAGACAGAGACAGAAGAGACAGAGACAGAAGAGACAGAGACAGAAGAGACAGAGACAGAAGAGACAGAGACAGAAGAGACAGAGACAGAAGAGACAGAGACAGAAGAGACAGAGACAGAAGAGACAGAGACAGAAGAGACAGAGACAGAAGAGACAGAGACAGAAGAGACAGAGACAGAAGAGACAGAGACAGAAGAGACAGAGACAGAAGAGACAGAGACAGAAGAGACAGAGACAGAAGAGACAGAGACAGAAGAGACAGAGACAGAAGAGACAGAGACAGAAGAGACAGAGACAGAAGAGACAGAGACAGAAGAGACAGAGACAGAAGAGACAGAGACGAGAGAGACGAGACAGAAGAGAGACGAGACGAGAGAGACGAGACAGAAGAGAGACGAGACGAGAGAGACGAGACAGAGACAGAAGAGACGAGAGAGACGAGACAGAAGAGAGACGAGACGAGAGAGACGAGACAGAAGAGAGACGAGACGAGAGAGACGGAACCATGGAGGAGCTTCGGAGGAGCGGTGGGAGGGGCCTGTTGATTGAGGGGAATCCTAAATCAGCCGACCTCAGAGAAGCAGAGGTGACAGAGCAGAAGGGGGGAGGAGGGGGGAGAAGGGGGGAGGGTTTACATGCACAGCTATAAAGTCTTTCCTCACCGCTGCCTCAGTCTGATTGGACAGAGACATGTTGTTGTCGTGAAATGTGTAAATGAAATGAAATGAAATGGGTTTGTGTGATTTTAATGCTGTGGACTTTACAGAGAACCAGAAACATGATTTAAGCTGCTTTTATTTAGTGACAAACAATATCACCATGTTTAACGGCTTTACGTCCCGGAAGCGTAATTAATCAGCTTATGTACATTTGTTGACTTTTTCTGTTTCTATATTTAGTTAATTTCTCTGTCGTTGTGTTTATGAAATTATCTTTTTTATATTTGAAATGTGAGTAGTTACTTTTAACTTCCATAGCAGTCATTTTTAACTGCTCCCTTGATTTTTACTGTAGAATTAAATTTTAGCTTAGTTTTCGTCCATGGTGCTGGTTCTGGACTGGTTCGGGTTCAGTCTGCGTTTCCACCAGAGAGCCGTTACCATAGCAACACACCTGTTTAGCTGTTAGCCCTTAGCATTTGACCTGTCACCTTTTTGTTGTGTGTCAGTTACAGTATTATCACCGGTTTTTAGCACTTAGTAAAAGTGAGTAAAGTTAGAAAACCTCATAAATGAGTTACTTTTTTTTTTGCAGTATTTTTTCAGAATTATTTTCATTTAAGTGGCAATTCTAGCGGTTTCAGAATCTTCAGTGGATTGTTTATCTGTTTATGAAGCTGGCAACAAGAAATGACTTGAAATCCTTTAATAAACCGGGCCCTACATGTTTCGAAAAACACGTAGAATATGTCCTCCTCCGGGGCTTGTAGCTCACGGATGTAGTGTCTGAGTGTTTCTGTGTCTCACCTGGTGTCTCTGAGTCTCACCTGGTGTCTCTGTGTCTCACCTGGTGTCTCTGTGTCTCCCCTGGTGTCTCTGTGTCTCCCCTGGTGTCTCTGTGTCTCACCTGGTGTCTCTGTGTCTCACCTGGTGTCTCTGTGTCTCACCTGGTGTCTCTGTGTCTCACCTGGTGTCTCTGAGTCTCACCTGGTGTCTCTGTGTCTCACCTGGTGTCTCTGAGTCTCACCTGGTGTCTCACCTGGTGTCTCTGAGTCTCACCTGGTGTCTCACCTGGTGTCTCTGTGTCTCACCTGGTGTCTCTGAGTCTCACCTGGTGTCTCTGTGTCTCACCTGGTGTCTCTGTGTCTCACCTGGTGTCTCTGTGTCTCACCTGGTGTCTCTGAGTCTCACCTGGTGTCTCTGTGTCTCACCTGGTGTCTCTGTGTCTCCCTGGTGTCTCTGTGTCTCACCTGGTGTCTCTGTGTCTCACCTGGTGTCTCTGTGTCTCACCTGGTGTCTCTGAGTCTCACCTGGTGTCTCTGTGTCTCACCTGGTGTCTCTGTGTCTCCCCTGGTGTCTCTGTGTCTCACCTGGTGTCTCACCTGGTGTCTCTGTGTCTCACCTGGTGTCTCTGTGTCTCACCTGGTGTCTCTGAGTCTCACCTGGTGTCTCACCTGGTGTCTCTGAGTCTCACCTGGTGTCTCTGTGTCTCACCTGGTGTCTCTGTGTCTCACCTGGTGTCTCTGAGTCTCACCTGGTGTCTCTGTGTCTCACCTGGTGTCTCTGTGTCTCCCCTGGTGTCTCTGTGTCTCACCTGGTGTCTCTGAGTCTCACCTGGTGTCTCACCTGGTGTCTCTGTGTCTCACCTGGTGTCTCTGTGTCTCACCTGGTGTCTCTGTGTCTCACCTGGTGTCTCTGTGTCTCACCTGGTGTCTCTGAGTCTCACCTGGTGTCTCTGTGTCTCACCTGGTGTCTCTGTGTCTCACCTGGTGTCTCTGTGTCTCTACCTGGTGTCTCTGTGTCTCACCTGGTGTCTCTGTGTCTCACCTGGTGTCTCTGTGTCTCACCTGGTGTCTCTGTGTCTCACCTGGTGTCTCTGTGTCTCACCTGGTGTCTCTGAGTCTCACCTGGTGTCTCTGTGTCTCACCTGGTGTCTCTGTGTCTCACCTGGTTGTCTCTGTGTCTCACCTGGTGTCTCTGTGTCTCACCTGGTGTCTCTGTGTCTCACCTGGTGTCTCTGTGTCTCACCTGGTGTCTCTGTGTCTCACCTGGTGTCTCTGTGTCTCACCTGGTGTCTCTGTCTCTTTCAGCCATCTGCAAACAGGGCTGTAACCTTCTCCACGGCAGCTGTGGCGTCCCGGGGGAGTGCAAGTAAGTCTGTCACACCTCGTCTTCTCAATGCTAACCATGCTAACGTTATGGTTGGTCTTATATGCTCTCAATGCTAACCATGCTAACGTTATGGTTGGTCTTATATGCTCTCAATGCTAACCATGCTAATGTTATGGTTGGTCTTTAATGCTCTCAATGCTAACCATGCAGCATCTACATCAGGGGTCTCCAACCTTTTTCAATCAGAGAGCTACTTTTATACAAACAAACAGGCAGAGAGCTACTCCTTTTTGCAGTTGTAATAAAAGTCGATCTAATAATTACGAACAAACTCAGAGAACACATATAAAACAACCCATAATACTGTATAACCCTATATCTATACTTGTAATAGATATGTAATGGCTCAAAAAGTATTCGTTGAAGTGTATTTGTTAAATTCTAAATCCTTTGGCGAGCTACCTGTAAGAGGCTGGTGAGCTACTGGTGGCTCCCGAGCTACAGGTTGGAGACCCCTGATCTACATGTTTAGTCCTGACTCTGGGACCAGCAGGAGGCCAGTCCCTGTGTTCCTCAGAGTCAGAGTTGGTTCATAACATGTCACAGATGTATTTTGCTGTTTTAAAGTCTATTCTCTGAGCCACAGGAAGCCAGTGCAGAGACCTGAGACCAGGACTAATGTGATGGTACTTCCTGGTTCTGGTCCTGCAATGTTAAGCCTGGTTCACACGAGACAATTTTAAAATTGTCGGACGATTTTTTTTCTCCGTGTGAGACCCCACACACGACAAAATCACGCAAACATCACACATCACACATGAACCGATTTCACCCCCGAGCATTCATAGGTCACCGGAAATCTCACAACATCTCTCGAGATCAAGCGTGACTTCAGAGTAAACAGAGTGTGCGGGCCTCTCAGCTTCACGCAGCCTATAGAGACTCTGGTCTGACCACAGCAGCCTATAGAGACTCTGGTCTGACCACAGCAGCCTATAGAGACTCTGGTCTGACCACAGCAGCCTATAGAGACTCTGGTCTGACCACAGCAGCCTATAGAGACTCTGGTCTGACCACAGCAGCCTATAGAGACTCTGGTCTGACCACAGCAGCCTATAGAGACTCTCGTCTGACCACAGCAGCCTATAGAGACTCTGGTCTGACCACAGCAGCCTATAGAGACTCTGGTCTGACCACAGCAGCCTACAGAGACTCTGGTCTGACCACAGCAGCCACAGACACCATGAGGACAAACACATGTGGATGTTACTGCTCTACAGTTCTCTGGCCCGTACTGTCTGTGCTGTTCAACAATACAGTTTGTACGAACAACCTGTGAACGCATCACACACACTGCTAGACATGAAACTTTACATATGTGCAAACCAACAAGCACGGCTGCAGTAACGGCTGCAGTAACGGCTGCAGTAACGGCTGCAGTAACGGCTGCAGTAACGGCTGCAGTAACGGCTGCAGTAACACGTCTGTACTGTGTTACAGTACATTTCGGTGATGATTCTTCAACCTTTTTCAATCAGAGAGCTACTTTTATACAAACAAACAGGCAGAGAGCTACTCCTTTAGAGACTCTGGTCTGACCACAGCAGCCTATAGAGACTCTCGTCTGACCACAGCAGCCTATAGAGACTCTGGTCTGACCACAGCAGCCTATAGAGACTCTGGTCTGACCACAGCAGCCTATAGAGACTCTGGTCTGACCACAGCAGCCTACAGAGACTCTGGTCTGACCACAGCAGCCTATAGAGACTCTGGTCTGACCACAGCAGCCTATAGAGACTCTCGTCTGACCACAGCAGCCTATAGAGACTCTGGTCTGACCACAGCAGCCTATAGAGACTCTCGTCTGACCACAGCAGCCTATAGAGACTCTCGTCTGACCACAGCAGCCTATAGAGACTCTGGTCTGACCACAGCAGCCTATAGAGACTCTGGTCTGACCACAGCAGCCTATAGAGACTCTGGTCTGACCACAGCAGCCTATAGAGACTCTGGTCTGACCACAGCAGCCTACAGAGACTCTGGTCTGACCACAGCAGCCTATAGAGACTCTGGTCTGACCACAGCAGCCTATAGAGACTCTCGTCTGACCACAGCAGCCTATAGAGACTCTGGTCTGACCACAGCAGCCTATAGAGACTCTCGTCTGACCACAGCAGCCTATAGAGACTCTCGTCTGACCACAGCAGCCTATAGAGACTCTGGTCTGACCACAGCAGCCTATAGAGACTCTCGTCTGACCACAGCAGCCTATAGAGACTCTCGTCTGACCACAGCAGCCACAGACACCATGAGGACAAACACATGTGGATGTTACTGCTCTACAGTTCTCTGGCCCGTACTGTCTGTGCTGTTCAACAATACAGTTTGTACGAACAACCTGTGAACGCATCACACACACTGCTAGACATGAAACTTTACATATGTGCAAACCAACAAGCACGGCTGCAGTAACGGCTGCAGTAACGGCTGCAGTAACGGCTGCAGTAACGGCTGCAGTAACGGCTGCAGTAACGGCTGCAGTAACGGCTGCAGTAACACGTCTGTACTGTGTTACAGTACATTTCGGTGATGATTCTTTACACGACACGTCAGACATACGTTCACGGTGTTGCCAGAGGTCAACTAGTTGTTCCTCCATCTCTGATGTCCACCGAACTTTTTGGTGCGCCATGCCTCTGACTGTTTTTTTTTTTTTTTTACGGTGTTTCCTCGCCGGCTCGTCTCGTCTTCTGATTGGCTACATGCCGCAGTCATGGCAACGCGCTCGTCTGTCCTCGGGGGACACCACACACGAAGAGAAATCAGGCAAAAACAATCCAACATGTTGGATATCCCCAATATTGAGATCGGAGCAGTCCTGAAGTCCCTCTGAGCGACCAGCGCAGTCTTAACACACCACACACGGAAAATCCATCAGATTTTTTGTTACAATAATCGGAGCGTCCTTACGATTGTCGTCGGGGTAAATCGGGTCCAAAATCGGCCTAATTATCCTGCCGTGTGAACCAGGCTTTACATAGTTCAATTGGTGTGGTTTGAAAGTAAGGCGTTCCAGCTTTTTTCTTTGGCTGCTTAGAAATCAATACACAAGTCTATTCTCTGGTGAATGGATGGTGAACACCTCAATCAGATCAAAACTAAGCTCAGAATCCTCCTCCTCTGCTTTCCCTCGTGGCTCTTCCCGCTCTGGTTGGGAAGAGCAAGGCATCGGCACTCTTGTCTTTTTTACATTTTTAGACTCTCGAATTGGCCCGCTGAATACAAAGCGCCTGCAGCAGTGCTCTCTGACAACTGGAGAAGCAGGAGAAGCCTGGAGTTTCCAGTCGTTCGGGGCAAACGTGCACAGAATGGTCATTTCCTCTCGCCGTGCGCATTGCGGAGGCCAGAGAGAGAGAGGCCAGAGAGAGAGAGAGAGAGAGGCCAGAGAGAGAGAGGCCAGAGAGAGAGAGAGGCCAGAAAGAGAGAGAGGCCAGAAAGAGAGAGAGGCCAGAGAGAGAGAGAGGCCAGAGAGAGAGAGAGAGGCCAGAGAGAGAGAGAGAGGCCAGAGAGAGAGAGAGGCCAGAGAGAGAGAGAGGCCAGAGAGAGAGAGAGGCCAGAGAGAGAGAGAGGCCAGAGAGAGAGAGAGGCCCAGAGAGAGAGAGAGGCCAGAGAGAGAGAGAGAGAGGCCAGAGAGAGAGAGAGAGAGGCCAGAGAGAGAGAGAGGCCAGAGAGAGAGAGAGGCCAGGAGAGAGAGAGAGAGAGAGGCCAGAGAGAGAGAGAGGCCAGAGAGAGAGAGAGAGGCCAGAGAGAGAGAGAGGCCAGAGAGAGAGAGAGGCCAGAGAGAGAGAGAGGCCAGAGAGAGAGAGAGGCCAGAGAGAGAGGAGAGGCCAGAGAGAGAGGAGAGGCCAGAGAGAGAGGAGAGGCAGAGAGAGAGAGAGAGAGAGCAGAGAGAGAGAGAGGCCAGAGAGAGAGGAGAGGCCAGAGAGAGAGAGGAGAGGCCGAGAGAGAGGAGAGGAGAGGAGAGGAAGGCAGAGAGAGAGAGCCAGAGAGAGAGGAGAGGCCAGAGAGAGAGGAGAGGCCAGAGAGAGAGGAGAGGCCAGAGAGAGAGAGAGAGAGAGAGAGAGAGGCCAGGGAGAGAGGAGAGAGAGAGAGAGGAGAGGCCAGAGAGAGAGAGGAGAGAGAGGCCAGAGAGAGAGAGCCAGGAGAGAGAGAGAGGCCAGAGAGAGAGGAGAGGCCAGAGAGAGAGGGCAGAGAGAGAGGAGAGGCCAGAGAGAGAGAGGCCAGAGAGAGAGAGAGGCCAGAGAGAGAGGAGAGGCCAGAGAGAGAGAGAGGCCAGAGAGAGAGAGAGGCCAGGAGAGAGAGAGAGGCCGAGAGAGAGAGAGCGAGAAGGGCCAGAGAGAGAGAGAGGCCAGAGAGAGAGAGAGGCCAGAGAGAGAGAGAGGCCAGAGAGAGAGAGAGGCCAGAGAGAGAGAGAGGCCAGAGAGAGAGAGAGAGAGAGAGAGAGGCCAGAGAGAGAGGAGAGGCCAGAGAGAGAGGAGAGGCCAGAGAGAGAGGAGAGGCCAGAGAGAGAGGAGAGGCCAGAGAGAGAGGAGAGGCCAGAGAGAAAGAGAGAGGCCAGAGAGAGAGAGAGAGGCCAGAGAGAGAGAGAGAGGCCAGGGAGAAAGAGAGAGGCCAGAGGCCAGAGAGAGAGGAGAGGCCAGAGAGAGAGAGAGAGGCCAGGGAGAGGCCAGAGTGCGCATTGCGAAGCGGCGGGAAGGACGAGGCTCGGAGCAGGAAGTGACCACTGTCTGATACAGGACTCTCATTCACCGGAAATGCAAAGGTCCCACTGTCACCTGCCGGACGGAAAGACGCTGAACTGAGATTCCATATTTGGGGCATGAGGGGCCGGAGCCAGGGAATAACTCTGGGATGAGTAACACGAGGAAGTCTGCGCATTTTTCTGTGTGTCATCTACGTTTTTCAATTGAACTTCATCCAGAGCCTGTTTCAACTGGTATGGAATAACTTAAGTGCAAATGGTAGATAATCATAGCTGT